TTCTTGATATTTTTACCTTTTCCTTTGTAGCCTGGCTATATCTAGATGGTTTATAGAAGTTTTAGAAGATATAGAAGTTTATAGAAGTTGTAGAAGTTGTAGAAGATATAGAAGTTATCGAAGTATAGAAGTTTTAGAAGTTATCGAAGTATAGAAGTTTATAGAAGTATACAAGTATAGAAGTTTTAGAAGTTCAGTTCAAGCTGCTTATAAGGAGGTTTATTTTAAGTTGTGTCAAGAGGTTTGGTTCGAGTTCCATCTGAAGAAGTTTGTGAAGATTTGTACTATCCGAAGAATATCGTTTCGAGTCCCTTCGAAGAAGGCCTCTACAAGTCACTCCTAATTTACTACCTCCTGTCATTCAGATAAGTCTTGAATAAATCATATAAATTTAAATAAGTAAGTCTCTGTGAATTAGAATTTGTTGCTACCTTATCTAAGACTTTATTTAATTATCATATCTTAATGGTTAGTGATTTTCTATATTTTATCACTAATCCATAGTCAAGTTTAGTAAGTTTTAAATATAGTGGCGCTAAACATTCTTTTTCAAAGTAATACGAGTTATTTAATAACCTGACCCACTCCCCAAAATCATAAGAGCTTAAAACACTATAAAAAATAGATAAAAAAACAAGATCACATTACAGTTTATGGGCTGGTGGAATCATAGGTCCATATTTTTTTAAAAATGAGGCCGGCAGGAACGCAACTGTGAATGGCGCCCGTTATCGCGCCATGATAACGAACTATTTGCTGCCTGAAATTGAAGCCCGTAATCTCGATGACATTTGGTTCCAACAAGACGGCGCCACTTGCCATACAGCCCCGTGCAACCATGGCTTTATTGCGAGAACAATTCGATGAACAGTTAATTTCACGGTTTGGACCAGTGAATTGGCCCGCTAGATCATGTTACATCACACCTCTAGACTTTTTTCTTTGGGGCTACGTGAAGTCCAAAGTCTATATGGATAAGCCGAATACGATTGAAGAATTGGAAGCCAACATTACTCGGGTCATTCGCCAAATTCCACTCGAAATGCTCGAACGTGTAATCGAAAATTGGAACTTCAGAATGGACCATCTCAACCGAAGTCAAGGACAACATTTGAAAGAAATAATATTTAAAAAATAAATGTCAGAAATAGTTTTTTTGTATATTAATAAAGATTGCACCATAAAATAGAATTTTGTTATTTTTTTTTTGTTGTTGAAAAAAGTACTTCTTAATGAATCGCCCATTATATATAAAAGTATATCTACGTTTTATTGTAAAGAAACACATGTATTCGAACATTTTCCTCTTTAAACTCTAGAAAGCACATAAAATGACATGATATTAATATCAATAAAAGTACTGAAATTCACTCGGCCAATAACAAAGATAATTCAAATATTCAGAAAGATGCCTTAGGATAAGAAATTAAATTATATAAAATAAATTCAATCGTAGAACAATCATCTAGTTATTTAGAAAATTTAAATGATAATATTAATGTTTGGAAAGTTATTCATGAAAATATGACAATAAATTTAATATCCAACTTGTATAACTCATTAATTCCTTGCAATATTATACAAACCATAACTGTTTTTGCAACAGATGTTTTTATCAAGGATTTACGTGTAAAATAAAAAAAAGTAGAAACAAAAAAAATATTTTCGTTATCTAAGGACTTTTTTCATTTCGTTTTGTTAAAAATTTGATGCAATGTTTTCCTTTGCAATATATTTTTAAAGATAAGTTTATTTTTGTTTAAAAAACAAATGAATTATCGTTATAAATAAGTTAATGTTACATGTTTCTTTTTCATTAAAAAACCAATTGACCCATAATTTGTTTTTATTCTATAATAAATTTTTATGAAAGAACTTTCGCATTTTTCGCTTGGGTTTTTCAGTTAATTATCAATTTCAGAAAAAAATTATCAATATACCTATATATAGTCGGCCGTACACATGAATTTTACTTTTCCACAATTAAATATCAGTATTATTAATATATGTATACATAATTCACAATCATACATAATTCACAAAAGTGACTCGTTCAATCCGATTGCAGCTTAGTACCCTTCGAGCAAATATGTTCGAAGATAGTATCGCATAAATATTTTATGCCTGACATCGCTATACGACGAGAACGAAATGTGCTCGATTAATTATGCATAGCTTAATTTTAGCGTCTCCTATTGGCTGAATCGAGCCATTCTCAAAATTCTATTTGTAGTAGACCACGATAGCCCGTAAGAAACGCCGGTCAATGTAGACTGGGATATCCAATCGTAAGTCTATGATTTTGCTCATCTTATGTTCTAATTGGTTCCTAGCCACGCTTTGGTGTGTCATCGCTGTGTTGAGTGAGCACAGATGGACAGTGTTTGTTTATTTATCCAGGGTTGTATTCACATTACTGTTTATGTTTATGATTTATAAAAAATTGTTTTTTGGAGGCCTTTTGAAAGTGATGAAAATAATGTATTCTCTGAATATATGTAAATTATTATAATTGTGATTGACCATTTTTTAAATAAATAGGATCAGTTGCACCCTTAGAACAACTAAATTGATACTTTAATACCCACATAAATTGTAAAATTTAAACAGTTCAAAGTCTGTTTTGGCAGTTTACTTATTGTTTACCTTATTCTATAGTGAAAAATGTTAATTTTTGGTTCAATAGCTTGGGGTCAAATATTACTACATACTGAGAAAAACTAATAATGTAAAAAATGTACGAAAACATTATATATTAACCAAGTAGGTAATTAGCAACTAATTGGCATTTATATATATAATAAATTTTAGTAATATATTTTTAAAATTTTTGTTGATCCCGTAAATATAGGGTTAATGCATTTTGCTACATTATAATCGAATTTTTTCGTATTATTATTTAGGATATTGTTATTAAGATTTTAATTAATACATTCACCCCAAACGCGCTCTTACCTCAACTGACCCTACATAATTATATGCAGAACCCATCAGAGTTTCTTCTAAGAGTAGTACCCCCTTTACATGCAGCTCACTTCCGCGGCAGTGAGCAGGGATTGGGAAGGGAAGTGGGCAGCGCGAGTATGTAAACATGTCGCTGGCGCTGCCATTGCTCATGCCACTACCGCTGCCGTCCGCTCTCTTCAGTGGCGGTATTTCGAACGGAAGTCAAAGGACTGGCAGCACGGGTGGACGTAACCGTTTACATGCTGCCCACTGTCCTGTCACTGTCTCTAGGTGTCATTGTCACTGCTCATCAGTGTTGATTTTGTTTACAATTGCGCGAAGAGAAACTTATTTGTTTGTTGTTTGGTTAATTAATAATAATTATTCTCGTTATTTTAACCATGATTGAGTGGAGCAATGAAGAAGTGCTACAGTTTTTAGAAATATTTGCAACAGAAAGATTGTTATGGGATGCCTCACATAAAGATCACAAAAAAAAAACACAAAGTACACGATGCGTGGAAAAGGATAAGCGAAAACTTAGAAAATACCCCAATTGAAGACCTCAAGTCGATTAAAAAATCACTAATGGCAACATTCCGGCCGCTATTAAAAAAGAAAAAAGCATCGATAAGGTCTGGAGCGGGTACTGATGACGTGTTTCAGCCCATTTTGTTTGCGTATGATGCAATGGAAAGTTTTTTGGGGGCAATTTATGACGTGGAAAATACAATAAATATCGAAGGCGAAGTAAGTAAATACAAAATAATTACGTTAAGTTCCTATATTTTTTATTTAAACCTTTGTTTATATGTTTACAAGTTAACATTATTAAAATAAGCTGCAAATTCAGATCTAACTTGTAGAGCGGTAGTTGCCGCTCATCTGGCTACAGGTGGTATTGTTCTTAAAGCAGCTAAACCTGTATTACGTTGCCTCCAAGAGCCCTCAATAAATACCCCGTTTTCAATTGTATCAAAAGTCCCAGGGGGGGGGTGTACAAATTTCGGGAATGTGGGCTTTACCTTAAGAAGTTATGTAATAAAATACAACTCAATGTTATCATTGGTACCTTGCTTACATCGATTTCTATCGGTTTTTTGAAGACAGATGTCAACACACCAAAAGTATTTTCAACGATTACACGACTGCTTGAAAGTCTATAGTTGAATGTCTGTTCATTCGTGCCCATATCGTGATTTCCTGGAAAAGGTTCCATCACATTTCTATGTAATGCAAAAGCCCCATCGCCTAAAAACACATAAGGTATATTCTTTTCTCTGCAGGTAATGGGACATCTGGTGGTAAATTAAGTGCATTTGTATCAATTTTTTGCCACAAGAGACAGTTTTGAAAAATGCCCCCATCACTAATATCCCCTTGACCACCTATGTCGGTAAAAATTAAGTGATAATCACTATCAACTAAAGCCATCAGAACTATGCTGTAAGTTGCTTTATAGTTATAATATTCGGAGCCACTATGTGCTGGACAATTAATTACGATGTGCTTGCCATTTATGGCTCCGACGCATCGAGGAAGTTTTTTTCTAAATCCCTCTTTTATAGCTAACCATTGCTCTGGTGTTTCCGGTAACTGAAACAAAAAAAAAACACAAATTAAGTACTTAATAAATTTAAAAACAAAATAACCTAATGACAAAACATATTATAATAAAAACATAATATGAAGGATTTTTTCTAGCCTGAACAGACCGAGGATCAGACTGATGAATCTGAACAGACTGATGAAGTGGGATCCTTACACAGGACACAGGTGAAAACAAAGAAAATGAAGAAGAAAAGGGCGAAGAAAATATCAAAAATAGAAAGACGGCAGATGATATGAAAACACAAGCTCATGCTTCAAAAAGAAGGCGCATAGGTCAAGCTTTTGACGCAGAAGTTGCACAAAAACTGCTAAACGACAGTTTTAAAACACTAAATCAGGTCTTGCAGAGTAAACAGGGTAACTCAGAAGATGACTGCGATCTATAGGGCAAACTTTTAGCTACAAAATTGAAAAGGTATTCTGTACACCAGAGACAACGAGTTATGTATAAAATAGACGGACTTCTATTAGATAATCGTCCTGAAACGTGCTCATCTACTCCTTTTCCATCTAGTTCTGCTTCCAGACCTTTATTTGTCCATACACCCCAAGCTTCTCCTTCCTATTCACACGATTCCCAAGCTTCTGTCGATTTACAACGTTACCAACCTTATCCTGCATATTCACATGATTCCCAAGCTTTTGGCTACTCACAACATTCCCAACCTCCTCATGTCGATTCACAACATTACCAAAGAGCTTCAGCCTATGCACCCAGTTCCCAATCATCTCCTCTCCAAGTCCAAATACTACAAGCCCCATTACAAAAAGCTCATCGCAGTACTCCATATAGTTCCAAGTCTATTTATGCACAAAGTTCTCAACCATCTTCTCTCCATATCCACGTGCTAAAAGCTCCACTGCAAGATAATCATCGCACTACTCCATACAGTCCCCACCCTTCTCCTGCACAAATTTATCATCCTTCTCCTCTCCATCTAGAACCCACTCTACTAGAAGGAGTACCTCTATCTACAACAAGTAATATTATACACAGTGCCTTTTTTGACGCCGTTACAAAAAACGAGTTTTCAATATTTAAATAATGATTAAATAAAATAAAGATTTCCTAAATAAATTTATGTGTTTATTGTTTACCTTAATTTGGTCCTTTAAAACAATATTAATGGCTTTGCAAACTTCAGGTACAATCAACGAAATTGCTGGTGATGAAACTTTAAATAAATAATGCAAACTTTGGTAACTGTCCCCAGTGGCCAAATATCGTAATGTTATTGCCAAGCGTATATTATGTTATGTTGAGAATGGGGTGTTAATACACTGCGACCTAAAAGATCTATTGTGTCCCTTTCTGTCGCCACTGCACTAAGGAAATGTCTCAATGCCTATAGCGACCCTTCCAATTCTATTTTCTCAAGGAAATGTAGGATTTGAAGTGGCTTCAAGTTAGGTAAGTCTCCCTCTTCTATTTGATATCCTCCTAGATATAGTGCCCTTGGATTCTGGAGTGCTACACATTCAGTAAGGATGTGAATAAAGGTTTCGTCCTCCTCCTCACAGAATCTGCACTCACTATCCTCTACTACTCTCAGTTTACTTAGGTGTCCTTTTAGTCGGCAATTCCCGGTAAGGATCCCTGTTACAATACGTAGCTTGTTCTTGCTCAGGCAGATGCAGGCTTCCGATCTTTTTTGGTTATATTCACCCAGAAGTATCTTGGCCTGTCTCAGCCCCAAGAGATTGTTCCAATTATCGGTTCTTCTACTACCCAATTCTTTTTTAATCTCTCCTAATAGTATGTTACTGCTGATACCGCAGAACGGCTCAGGCCCTACAAAGGGTGTTTGAGCCCCTTTCCTTGCAAGACTATCTGCAATCTCGTTACCCTGTACCCCGTTATGTCCCGGGACCCAAGTGAGAGTAACTCTATTTTTCTCGCCTAGCTCATTTAATTGTTCTAGGCATCTCCAGACCATTTTTGAGCTGATTACGTAAGAACTCAGCGCTTTGATGGCTGCTTGACTATCGGAAATGATGATAATCTCTTGTCTATGATAGTTTCTCTCGATGTTAAACTGGATACACTTCTCGATGGCGTGAATTTCCGCCTGGAAGATGCTTGGGTATTTTCCCAAGCTTTCGGAGTGCTTGGTTCTCGGCCCATACACTCCTATTCCAGTTCCTTCTATGGTTTTGGAACCGTCCGTATACCACTGAATAGCACGTCTTTCGGTTGTAAGCGCGATGGATTCTTGGCTCCATTCTTTCTTGTAGCCCAGCTCTGTGGTTTTGAAGTTTTTCACAAAACTGTACTTCTTTTGCATTTCATCCTGGGGCATGTCCCAGGTATCTTTAGTCCTGAAGCAAGTAGACTTTCGTCTGATTACTCCGTTCCTGATCATTCTATATCGTGTCCTTTTTGCCACATTCTCTATCATCAAATGTAGAGGGGTGAGGTTTAAGATCATCTCCATTGCGGCCGTAGGACAGGTTCTCATTGCACCAGTAATGCAAACACAGGCTAGTCTTTGTACTTTTGAGATATTAGCTCTCGTAGTAACTAAACTAGTTCTGTTACTCCAGGCTATAGCCCCGTAAGTGATGATTGGTCTCACTTTTGCAGTATACATCCATCGCAGTATGTTTGGGTTACATCCCCTTCGTTTACCTGCAATGTTTCTGCATACCATTAGGGCTTTTGTGGCCTTATTTACTACTTCCTTCTCATGTGTGTTCCAGAGAAGTTTGTTGTCCAGGGTTAGGCCTAGATATTTGACTTCATTTTTCCATTCTATATCTATCCCGTCTAATTTAACGGTTTTGAGATTAAGTTTTCTTTTCCTTGAAAAGGCTACTAGTGTTGTTTTTGTAGGGTTTATAAGTCCCACTTCACGGCACCATTTTTTGGTATGTTCTAGTCCTCGTTGGACTATATCACACAGAATATTACTAGAGTATATTAGGTGGTATTGGAATTCTTACTTTAGTCTGTTTTTTATCATTGGCTTAATTTTATTAAGCAAATATTCAAAATCTATGCGTGACATTCTGCAAAAGTTAAAAAAATTCTCCGGATTCCTCACAAGTCAGTTCATTGAAAAAGTTTCTCATGCTTCCTCTGCAAAAAAAACATATTTAAGTCAATTTTCAGGTTATTAACAAAATAAAAGTCTTACAACGTTCTGTTCCGATGAATCGCTGTCATCAACCATCGCCTTCTTCGACGTTTTTTTCTATCACATTTCTTTTTAAAACACTAATATAATTTTGCAAACTCAAAACTCAGAGCGCTGTCGCCGCGGCAGTTTCTACGCCCTCCATCTTGCTGCTTGCTGGAGAAATAATGCAGTAATCGCGTCAGCCCGTCAGCTGTATGTAAACAGTCACTTACAGCAAGGCTGCCATGGAATTATTTAGGGCAGGACAGCGGGCAGCGCGAGTGCAGCGGCAGTGGCTGCATGTAACGGGGGTATATAGGTCATTAGATAAATGACTGCCAATATATTTATATATTAACTACAATTTTTTGTGGGTATTAATAGAAAAAATGGGCTATTCAATTTTAATTTATTAGGATGGCTTCTTGTATTTCAGTTGAATTTTTAACGCAACTTATAAATCGTCTAAGCGAAATATACGAAACGATGCTAATATTTGTAACAGTTTATTTTTAATTGTTTTAAAAAGAATATTTTCTTTCAATATTCTTTTCTTTATCTACAGTTAAAGTTATTTTTCAGGTCATTATTAAAACCATGTATGTGCGAATTTAGCTATTCACGCATTTTGTAGTGGTATCAGTCAGCTGTTGGGTTAGGTGTTCGATATAAACAATTTAATTTTGAGTACTTATATTGCGACCTTGGGTCAAGGAGCCTAATTAATAATTTCGGGCTACCTAGTCAGATAGAAATTTTATAGCGACCTTAAAACTGGTACTAGGAAGTGCAAAAGCAAAAGGTGTTGATGTGTAGCATCGTTTGGGATTTTTAAATCTTTGATTTTTGGAATCATCTTTAATTTTATTTTTAAATCACTAAAATTAAATTCGAGTGTAGTAGTTTATGCTGGTGTCGATATTTGTGTAATACCTTGAATTTTTACGTGTCAAACGGGATTTATAAATATCCACGTCATCAATTCACTGTGGTTAGTGAAAATGATATTTTCCTAAAGGCTAGAAAATAAATGGCGTGAGAAGGATGAAGCCTAGCAGAATATTATAAATATAGTTAATTAGCAAATTACTGATTACCCACGATCCAAAAATTATTTAAGGAAATATTAAAATTTTAAAAATCGGTTCAAGAGAAAGTAGCCGAAGAAAAACTTCAAATAAAACAAACTTGCTACAGAAAAAGTAAAGGATATTGTACCAACGATTTAATATTAGGACTCATAAAAAAAACAGTATTTCCACTAAATACATCATTTGGTGGTGATACCAACGAAATACCTTCTAATATAGCTGCTGTAGAGACAATGTCAGATCAGGTTGAGACTAAAGAAGCTGCAGTTTCTACAGCATGTATAACAGAACAGAAAAGGTAAAACATGTTCTACTTAAATAGTATTAAATAGGTCTCAAATGTGTTTCACGAGAAAATTTTACACATAACTTTGAATTATTTATTTTTAGGACCATTGGGGTAATTTTTCTGCCGGTTAACTTAATAAATCCAGTGACTTCATATCTTAAATAAACGTGGACCAAAAGATGGAGACTTAGGATAGTGCAACCAGCATCAACAATTGAGGAAAAATATGACCATATAACAAACATTAGGCAAGAACACATCTTAAAGAGAGAGAGAAAAGGGAAGAAAATATATTTAAAATCAGAAAAACAAAGTTAGAATTAAATATAAAACTTAGAGAATTCAAAAAGCATTAGAGTATTTAATAGTTATAAATTGGTTTATGGGAAATTATTCTAAATGTAAAGTTTGCAATTATACTTCCTGGTCCGTTCCTAATAGAACACCCTATAGTTGCTACAAAACGCTGACAGTACACTAAGTTTAAAGAGAGAATAACTGATCCACCATATCCACAGCACACACAGCTGGCCTATTCATTACGATTCTTAGTGTCGACAGTGCATAGTGAGATAAAGAATTAAGATTAAGCCGTGAATAATAAAAGTTTTGAAAGTAAAAAATAAAAATACAAAAAGAGAAAATTAAAAAGAAGTTAGAAAAGTTGTTAGAAGTGTTTCCTTCTAATTCAACAAGTACTATTGTATGTTTATCTTAATGTTTTTCTTTGTATTAGTAATCAGGTATGTCCAACTTAGTACTCAGCACCGAAAACATCAATTATAACCAACATTAAACACACCTATGCAAAAAGTTAGAAGAGAATATCATTCAGATAGTGTGTTATTTGGTAAAAATGTAAATCAGCGACAGTCATAAAAAAGTCTAGTATGGAATTAAAAGCTTCATCGAAGCGTGCGGATACCTTGCGAACAAAACAATTTAGGAACGATTTAAACTGGAGGCGCCCGTTCGCCAAAGCTTGGTTTAAACAAGGCGTCAAGAACTCGAAAAATCAGTGGAGGGGGCACACAGGAACGTCCCCAGTGGAACCAGCCGAACCATCGCAAGGGGTCATACTACGAAGCTCGTCAACGCAACTACAATCCCTAAAGGTACAAGGAAAATATGCTGGAAAGCTTAGGAAATTTTCTGCTAAATGGGAAAACATCCTAATGATCCGTTTATTTTACAGTGTGTCCGGGCATATTCTATACCATTTAATTGTACTCCCATACAAATAAAGTTTCTTAGACTGAAACAATTTACTAATATAGAAATTAGTGAGGTTAAAAGAAAGTATTCAACATTTGTTAGCAATCAACGCAATACAGAAATGTGAATCAAAAAAGGGACAATTTATTTCATCTTATATTCTAGTGTCAAATCCAAAGAAAAAATTTCGGTTCATAATAAATTTAAAAGCTTTAAATACATTTATACTCCGCCAAATTTTAAATTGGATGACTAATGTGTTAAAAATATCATATCCCCAAATATGTTTATGGCTTCAATTGACCTAAAAGATGCTTATTTTCTTATTCCAGTACATACAAAGCATAGAAAATATTTACGATTTATTTTTGAAGGAAAATTATGAATTTTATTGCGTCCAATTTGAGTTAAATATTTTGTTTACAAAAATCATTAAAAAATTTATAAAACACTTAAGATCGAAATAATTTGTCAATATATCACCTTGATGATTTTCTGTTGTTAAGGTCTATAAGGCAAGAGTGTTTAAAAAATGTACTACGATAAAAGCAATTTAATCTCTGATACAAGTTGAAAATATTTAGGTTTTTTTATTTGATAGTAAGGAAATGACTATCAAATTACCGTTAACAAAAAGAATTAAAGGATTAAAAGCTATTAATTCCTTTTTAAAACTAAAGTCATGTAAAATTAGAACCTTTGCAAAATTAATTGGCCAACTAATATATTTTTGCCCTGCAATAAAATATGGCTGGTTGTATACAAGTTTTTGGAGCGTCAAAAAGTTGAGGCATTAAAAAATAATGGCGTTGATTACGAAAGTAAATTAGTTATAAACAAAATTATAATTCATGAATTAAAATGGTGGGTATCTAAAATTCCTCTTAGTATCAATTACTGGTTGGGGTTTATATTGCAATGGAGGAAAGACCCACGGTTTCTGGAATGCCAAAGAATTAAATTATCATATCAATTATTTGGAATTATTAGCTGTCTTCATTGGTTTTAAATTGTTTGCGAAACATAATATTTGTGCAATATTGTTAAGAGTGGACAATACCACAGCAATTTCATATATCAATCATATGGGTGGAATAAGATACAAAAATCTGTCAAGACTTACTAGGGAAATTTGGCAATGGTATGAAGTCAGGAATTTATTGATTTTTGTTACTTTTATTGAATCAAAAAATAATATAGAAGCAGTCTAGATCTAGATATATAGAAACCGAATATAGTTTAAATAACAATGCGTTTCAGAAAATTATTTCTTTAATTGGTATTTCAGAAATCGATTTATTTGCTACACAAATAAACACCAAGTGCACTCGGTATATTTCTTGGTAGAGGGATCCACACTTTATTGCAAAAGATGCCTTTACAATTGACTGGAAAAAAATTAATTTTTATGCTTTTCCACCTTTTTCGTTGGTAGCAAAAGTCCTAAATAAAATCACTGCAGATCAAGCGGAAGATTTAGTAATAGTTCCTTATTGGGAAACATAACCTTGTGCAGACCACCCTACACCGTGCTCAGGTGCAGTTTGCCTACACCTTGGAATTGGAAGGAAGTGGATGTGCGCGTGTGCTAGATCGAGACTTTTCGGTGACAGTGACCGGCTTGGATGTTTCTTTTTGGGTTATGTCGCTTTTGTTTCGTGTAAAACTAATGGCACTATTATGGTCCGACATGTAAATATTAAAGATTTAAGTACTAAATTTAAATTGGGATTTTAAATTATTTAAGAAATTATGATTGTGGTCAAACGTATTTAAAATCATGATTTAAAGTTGAAAAGGACCTGTAGAGAGTCTAGTTTGTTAAAGAAATCTAGTACAGATTTGGTGAAATTCTTCTTTTTTATTTGAATTATTTGAAATTTGTCACTTTTTGTGGTTATGTGATGTGGTGTTATGTCATTGTGTCAATAGATTTATATGCCTATTGTAAAGAGTTTATGTTTATTTTTAAATAAACATTTCTGAGTATGTACTATAAATCATTTGTTTAATAATAACTTTTACATCACAGTATTTTCATTAAATTAAACATATCTTGATTAGAGCCATTTCCAAAGCGAAAAAACTACGAGGAGCAAATACTGCAGTGGTGCAGTATGAAGAATATGTCAAGTTTTTAGAAAATGACGAAATATTTAGAACTGGAACTATTAATCCATCTGTAGCGGAAAATTATATTAAACAAAAGTGGGAAGAATTAACCACCAAATTAAACGCTAAATCGAAGGGCCCACAATTAAATACAGATAAATGGATTCAAGTAATTTTTATATATTTTGTTCTAATATTTTTATTTTGTTTTTATTTTTCAGAGATTCTCTGATTGGAAACATAGTACTAGGTTCAAATACCGAAAATATCTGGTAAATAAAAATAAAACAGGAGGAGGACCTGAGGTGAAAAATCCATTGAGTAGTCTTGAGGAACGAGCCATTAATGCTTGGGGAAAAGTAGTTGTAGAAGGCAGCTCTCTTGTGCCAGATTGTATTGCGAGATTATTCAAAACATTCCATCAACTTCCCTCTCTTTTAATGAAAATATAATGGAAGATTTCGATACTGAAAACATAGAAATTGTATTAGAAGACAATGCCCAACAACCAATTGAACCCGTGACACCAACTATGAAGAGGCCTCTACGAGACATTGTGCTAGAAGACAATGTCCAATAAGACAATGTCCAACAAACAGTTGTACCCGGGACATTAGGAATCAAGAGAGCTCTACAAAAAAGTAGAGAAATTAACAGAAAGCGTCCAAGAGTTTTGAATACTCTTACAGAAGCCTTATTGGAGCAACTGAAAGAAAATGTTGTGCCCCAAGAAAAATTGGTGGATGCCATAAAAGAACTGGCTGATTCTCAAAAAGAGTCATTAAAATTCAAGGTTGCTGCATTTAAATACAAAAATCCAGATTTTGAATATGAATGTAAATACAAACAGGTAGTTTTAAATAAATTTTTAGTGTTCAGTAAATAAAGTTTTTAAAATAAAACATTTTTGTCATAAGTTTTTTTTTTTTTATTTTAGACATTTTGATAATTTTGTCCAATATAAACTGTTCTTGCTGCTTGACCTTGATGAGCTGCTATATTATTAAAATTATTTCCTTGTTCATAATCTCCAACTTCTTCTAAATATTCAACATTTTCAATATCCATATTTGCTTGTCTCGACATATTATGTAATATCCCACAAGAATATATAATAAATGCAGCCGTTGTAGGATGATATTGCAGTACACGAAATTTGGACAGGCACCTAAATTTTGCTTTCAATATACCATTTGTACGCTCCACTACATTCCGAGAAGTTTTCAAAGCACGATTATATTGACCCTCTGGAGTATCATCATCTGCATTTTCGAAAGGAGTTAACAGCCATGGTTCAACACCATAACCACTATTTCCAATCAAAAAATGGTTCCTTTGTCCCTCTTCAAATTATTCTGCTAAAATTTGTCTAACATTTTATGTTTGCCATATAGCTGCACCATGTACAGAACCAGGAAATCTAGCATTAAGTGCAGTAATGCAGCAATTTGAATCACAAATTAACATTACATTAATGGAGTGTTTTCCTTTTCTGTTGATGTACAAATAAGGTTGGTGTTCTTCATCTGTACCAGGAGGAGCTATAATTTCAACAAGAGTGCCAACGATGGCACCAATGATTCCTCTCATACCCCATTTGCTATAAAAACCTTCTTGAACAACATTTTTTCTTCCTGATTTGTAGGAAACTTAATCCAGTTTTGTGCTAAGTGAATAGTTATTAAACGACTTACTTCATTAATGGCCAAACTTATAGAGGTTTGACTCGTACAAGTAAATAGAGAATTACCGATTGCCCTCTGATCAGATCCATTAGCAAAGAAGTTAATCGTCGCTAAAACTTTCAAGTGGAATGGGATTGAATCCCTTCGCCTTGGGTGTATATAATGCATTTGAAGTCGCTCAATGATTTCATTCCTTATCATTTGTTTTGATAAACGAAATAGCCTCAAAAATTCTGGATCAGGCATCTCAAAAGGATTTTCATGGTCTCTTAACATTCTTCTCTCAACTCTTATATTGTTTTTATAAAAAAAATATTTTTGTATTATAATTTAAAATATGTAAACCATTTCCGCTAGTTACCTATTATCATCTTCTCCTAATAGAAAAATAAATATCGGTAATAAGTCCATTTTATTATAGTATTTTTTATAAATATGTCATTAAATTAAGCCTAACCTCAAATTTAACGTTGACATGCAGCTTTCTGACTCTTTAAAATTTAGCATAAGCAAAATAAATATTTAACTCGTGACCAAAATCATATTTTTGGCTTAAATTCTTTAACAGTCTAATTTAAAGATTTAGTTGAGTTAAATACATGACCAAAATCCCAGCATAATACCTTGTATAGTTTAAATTAATAATTAATATTAGTTTTAAGAATATTGTTGAGTTTGTTTTGGTGTTCTTTGTTGACTTGTCACGTAAGTACCTGGCCAGGGGTAATATTGTATGTATTTTTGAGGTTATTTTATCATTAAAAGTTTATAACGTTAGCTTGTGTGTATCTGAATGTTGTATCATTTTACCCTTAATCTGAAGAACCTTCTTTTTAATACGTACAACCTTGGTTTCCAATTTTTAAAAAAAGACTTCAAACCTCTAACTCTGTTTACTTCTTTCCTAATAACTATTTATTAACCTCCCCTTTCAGGAGCAGCCATCCGCTTTGGAAAAGGATTACCATGGTGGCTGTGAGATTATCAGGGGCTATTTTTTACGACGACACATCTCAGGAGATGCCTGTTTAATATTAAAATCATCTCTAAGTAAAAACACCATGAAACAATATGATACAGTATATAGAAAATGGAGGATTTTCTTTTGTAAAAATTATAAAATAGACGTATACCAGCCATCCACGTACATAGTTTTGTTAAATTTTTAAATAAACAATGTAAGAGCGGCCCCAGCTATTCAACTTTAAATACATGTAGGTCTGATGTGTTGGTACTAGTCTTTTGATATCTTACGTCGCCATGTATTATCAATAGCAATAAAAATCAAGTAGATTGTATAAAAGTTATTGAATTATTTATTCTTCGATCACTTATTTCAACGAACCTACACAATTGATACGTCGTCGAAATAAGGGTCGTATCAACATATTACAAAATATAATATAAAATAATAAAATACATTTCTTAACCTAATTATACCCAAGTTCAAAGAACTATAATAACTACAAAACTTATATACAGTATGATAAATATATATAAGTACTTATGTTATTAAATCTCCCATGGAAAAAGAAAAAAAAATCTACAAATAATTGTTTTTAACAATTATATAATTTAACTCTATTTTGTGCACTTCAGCACTTTCCTTATAGTAGTAATATTTGGAGATTTGTCCTCTATAACATTATGTTACGTTTCTTTTGCTGCATAAAATAATAACAGTTATAAGTGCCTAGCTCAGCTCAGTATATGGGGTGGTTCATATACAAATTTAAAGAAATTGATTATTTAACCCGGCGCCAAGTAATTTGAGCGGCGATGGAAAATTTAAATACAATACTAAATTACTAAACTTACTCTCTTTAGTGAGACTTCTTGTGTAAGGGTAAAAATAAATAATAAGAGGTAGAATTTCAATAAAGCCAAAAAAATATATATTAACTTTTCTTCAAGATTTATAAATATATTAAGATTGCCCTAAACTCTTGCAAGAATAGCTGATTTTGGGAATCAAGACAAACTTAAACCCCAAAAATAACTCTATCCCAAAACCAGTTACACAGTTAATAATGTAGAATAACTAAAGTTAAATACTATTTATAGAAAATAAATAATAATAAAATGATTCCCACAGCGGGGTCCTTATTTTAAAAGGTTCGAATTCCCTCTCAGCCAAATCCACAATAAAAAGCCTATTGGTATTTTGTTTCAATCACAAAATTCTGTTTTACAGTTCAATTGTTCTACCAGCAGTTGGAAACAATAATTTATCGTTCTTGAAATCAGAACCGGTACCCAAATAAACGTCTAAAAAAAATAGGAAAACCTTTATTTAGCATTAACGAAAACTTTCTATTCATTATTAGTAAATTTAAATAATTTTAAATTAATGGGTAACGCAAATTTTACTTTGAAATAATTGAGTACTAACCTCCTACAAAGTTATTCCAAAAATAATTCCTTATTGTAGAGACGTTTTCATCAAAGTGTTCAAAACAGCTATCAAAGAAATCCGTCAATCGACGTAAATAGTACAAATGCACAAAATAAATAATTTCAACCAGAAACACTTGTACTATTTTATATTTTACAAATTTTTGATTTAAATCATACGCAGATTTTATTTTAGGTTTAGAAATATTTAAAATTACTCTTGCATCGTTACATGCTTGTTGCAATTTATATTTTAGCTCGAGAGGGTAATCATCAAAATTATAAATAGGGTCTATTTGGTCTATTAAATTTGAGGGCAATTTAGCCAGCTTCCCAAAAATTAATTCATAAGGCGTGTACTTGGTTTCGGTATGTACCGTCGTGTTATAAGCAAAACACCAGTAAGGTATCCATGTGCTCCAGGCATTGCTGTATTTAGAAACATGAATTCGTAAATAAGCTCCTAGATTTTTATGAGAATTCTCATGAGCACCTAGTGTCTCATGGTGGTATGCTATTGAATTAAGCTTTTTAATTTGTAAAGACTGACTTTTAAGATACATGTCAGAAATTCTGTACCTTGATCTGAAACAATTTCATTTGGAATAACATACCTTACAATAAAGTTATTTACCAAAGCCTAAGCCACGGTGTGCGCTTCTTTATTTTTTAATGGATATGCTTCCACAAATTTTGTTAATTCGCACTGTAAAGTTAAAATATATTTGAGGTTTTCTGAATCTTGTGGGAGTGGACCAACTAAAAGCAAATTTTTTGAAAACCCGAGGAAGCTGTAGTGGTAATAGTCATTGGCTCTTTATTTGATATGGAATGTTTATAACGTTGACAATCGTCACATTTTTTAAAAAAAGTTTCGATATCTTTACGCAAACCTCCCAAAAATATATCTTTTTGATATTGTTATAGATTATATTTATACCTGCATGTCCTCCTGTAGGGAGAATGTGAAAATCATTTAATATAATTTGTTGCATTTCAAGATCTCTGACATTTTCTAAATCATTTATTATAGACAATTTGATACCGGTAACTGTGCACTTTTCTGATTTTTTTTTTTTTAAATAACTAATTCCGGAATTTCATATTTATCATAAATATGCTTTAGGTCTCTCAACATAGTACCTAGGTCTGATGTTAATCGAGGATCCTGATTAAAATATATTATTCGCGAATCTTTATTATACATTAAGTTCCCAATTATATAATTCCATTTATTACTCTTCTTAATATTTTTAAATTCTGTCATAGATATTGGATTTAGACAAAAAGAATTTTTAGGGCGTTTCAATAATTCTATAGATCCAGGGTGATCAATCATTTTATCAGAATTTTTACTGAAACTACCTAAGCAT